GGCTTTGGCCTGACTTTGGGACTTGAACCTATATGGGATACGATATGCATAGTAAAGACTAACTTTATTTATTCATACTGGATTCAATTTCAAGGGAGCCTCGACCACATATTATCGAAAAATGCGAGTGTATGATGCCGTCCACAAATACTGTAAAAAGCCATTTAACCAAATCTTTTAGATACTTACTTGATCATGTTACTTGATCTCTCGTGATTATTTGGCTCTCGTGATCCAATTCAAATTTGACAAACTCTTCACATCAGGGTCATTGCGCTCATCTACTTTTTTTGGCTATGATCGACAACAAGCTTTTTCCGATGAACACATAAAAAGTAGCCAACCTGCCATTTTCAACCAAAATGTACAAGAAAAAAAATTAACGTATTTACATAGAAATATTGGAATTAAAATGTAATTGGGGATACCAGTAAAAGTTTTTCTTTTCACATTAACCGTGTACAAATTGTTTCAACAGATTTTTTTGAATGACTAAAGTTAACTGGTAAGTGTCATTCATTTTAGTTTAGAGTATTCAATGATCTCCGAGAACTCCAAAAGGTTATATACGTATACGTGAAAGCATTTACAGTATATACAAAAAAATCTTTCATTATGTAAAATGAATATCGCAACTTCCATTTGAGGATTATTGTTCGGCGGATACTTGATGAGTTTGTTACTATGTACAGTATATTGATATGACATAAACGTGTACAGTTCCACCCATAAAGTATATAAATATTAATTTCGTCTCACTCAATAAGCAATTAAATAAGAAATCATTAGAATTCCCAGAAAATGGAAAATCGTAATGTTTACAATCCTCTTCTTTTCGAAATCGCCTGGGAGGTTGCCAACAAAGGTATGAAATAATAAAATTTCCATGTTAAACCTTTTTATTTGTAGTTTTCGGCTATGACCAAAAATTCTAATTTTGTCCCAATGGCCCACAGTTGGTGGAATATATACGGTAATAAAGTCTAAAACTCCGGTAACCGTTTATGAATTCGGTGACCGATATACTCTGATAGGACCTCTTTCCTACAAAACTGCGCTTGCCGAAGTGGAACCCATAGAAGTTTCCAATCATTATATGAAAGAAATCTTGGAGGAAATGTCTTCACAAGGTGTTAAATGGATTCACGGGCGTTGGTTAATTGAAGGGGCTCCTCGGGTACTCCTTTTCGATACACACTCAGTATCCGACAGATTAGATAAATGGAAAGCTGATCTTTGGAATGTTGCGGGAATTCCGTCACCACCTAATGATAACGAAGCCAATGATTCTATTCTTTTTGGATACTTGGTTTCATGGTTTTTAGGTGATGTACGTATTAAAACTTTATGTGATACGATGCAACCACACAATACTTGAATAAGAAATAACTTTTGCACATCATTTCAAGTTTGTCGCCAAAGAAAGAAGTAAAGCCGTAATTGCACATTTCCATGAATGGATGGCAGCTTGTTCCATCCCCTTGATACGAAAGCGACGGATCGACATCACCACTATTTTTACCACTCATGCCACCCTGTTGGGTCGTTATCTGTGTGCCGGATCAGTAGATTTCTACAACAACATTAAGAAATTTTCTGTAGAAGAAGAGGCCGGCACTCGTGGAATATACCATCGCTATTGCATTGAACGTGCCGCAGCACTTTGTTGTGATGTATTTACCACAGTGAGTCAGATTACCGCTTATGAAGCAGAATATTTGCTAAAGAGGAAACCTGGTGTGTAATTTACATTCCCCTCCCCTTTGTTCGCATACCTCTTTTCCCTTCTTAATAACCGGATCTGTTCATAAAGATGCCGTATTACCAAACGGTCTAAATGTCATAAAATTTTCGGCCATCCATGAATTCCAAAATATCCATGCCCAAAAAAAGGAAAAGATACATAATTTCGTGCGTGGTCATTTCCATGGTCATTACGATTTTGATTTGGATAATACTCTTTATTTCTTCACAGCTGGCCGTTATGAATACAGAAACAAAGGAGTGGACTTATTTATCGAGGCATTGGATCGACTGAATCATCGATTAAAAGCGTGCAATTCTCCAGTAACTGTGGTGGCATTTTTAATTATGCCAGCAGCAACCAACTATTACACTGTGGAGTCACTTAAGGGACAAGCTGTTACCAAACAGCTCCGTGAGACGGTGAAAGAAATTACCGATAGAGTTGGGAAAAGATTGTTTGAGAGAGCTGCTCGTTACACCAGGTATTTACTATTACTGTACAATCAGAGTATTATAGTGTGTACTGTACAGTAATTAGATAACAATATTGTACTTGCATTCGATCCTACAGTGGCGACATTATGCAGAAGGTGATGGATCCATCTAATTTACTTACCAAAGATGAAGTGATCTTGCTGAAACGTCGTGTCGTTGCACTCAAACGTGAGTCTCTCCCACCAATAGTCACACACAACATGGTGGATGACGTCAGCGATCCGATCCTAAATCAACTACGTCGTCTTCGTCTATTCAACGATCGCATGGACAAAGTAAAGGTGATCTTCCACCCTGAATTCTTAAACTCGAATAACCCCTTGTTCGGTATGGATTACGACGATTTTGTACGTGGATGTCATCTCGGTGTGTTCCCGAGTTACTATGAGCCTTGGGGTTACACTCCAGCCGAATGCACCGTGATGGGCATCCCCTCGGTTACCAGCAATCTATCGGGCTTCGGTTGTTACATGAGCGAAAATATTGAAAGCACTTCCGACTATGGTGTCTATATTGTCGATCGTCGAAAGAAATCCTTCGACGAGTCCACCCAACAACTTGCGGATATCATGTTACAATTCTGTCAGAAATCGCGACGTCAACGAATCAATATGCGCAACCGTACAGAACGCTTGTCGGATATTCTCGATTGGAAGTTGATGGGTATGGAATACACTCGAGCAAGAAAATTAGCGCTACATCGAACATATCCCGAATGTTTCGTAAGCAAAAATCTTGATGATCTCCAACGACGCAGAGTAAAAATCTCGCGACCATTGTCGGCATCCGGGTCACCAAGAATAGATAGTGGTACCAATAGTGGCAGAAGTAGTGATGTGGATTTCGAAGAACAGATCTCACATTTTAGTTTAACAATGCCAGAACATGAAGAAGAAGAAGAACATCATTACCCATTGATTTTGAAAAGACGCGATTCTTCACGTGATTTAACTGCCCTTATCCACGACTATAAATAATGATATAGAATTCGAGGGATAATGGTAAGTGCGATCTTATTTATATGAAAAAATCATGATTCTGATTATTATTTAAGCGTTATCTAACAATTTTGTACATATTAATTATCACGGAATTAGATACTCCGATTTCTCTCATTGTCAAATATCATTTTTCTGAGAAAGAACATTGAATCCCGAATTTTTATCTAGAAAATTATAAATTTGTTGTAATATACAGTATATGCTTTGATTTTTATTCTTGTAATAAAATACATTGAATAGTTAATTAAAATTTACATTAAGCATGTATTAACATGATTTAAACATTACATGAATATTTAGGATCTATCGATTCTTTACAAATTTTCCCGTTTTGTATACGGATTATTCCTGGTTATTCGTAATTTCATTTTCATTTTCATCACTTTATAGAGAAATTAAATACGTCATAAAGAAAGTAATCTACAATTTGCCTATACGCTATATCAATTTGATTGTTTTATTTATGAGAACAGGTTTTTTACCAATTGCATCTTCAATAACAACGTGAACTCTAATGGAATATTTATCTAAATTTGAAGATATAGTTTTTTTTTATTTTCAATTCTATTGGTGAATGGAGAGACGACCGTCATACTGAAGAATGCAGACATCGCGACTTTAACGAAGAGAATGATTCAGATTATTACCGAGACAATGAGTATGACTATATTGATGAGAATAGATATCGCAACCATAGAGAAGAGTATAATTCAGGTCATCACGGCTATAATGGATATGAAAGCACTGACAAGGAAGAGATGGGTGGACGATATTATCAAGTATTCGGCGAAAAGGAATATGATATTGTAAGTTCTGACTATTATGAAGAGGGCAAATATCACGAAGGAATAGAATACTCCGACAACAGCTGTTTCGAAGAAAAAGATTTTTCTTCACCAAAATTCTGTAATACTTGTAACAAAAGAGGACACCTTATGCGAGATTGTCATTCATATGTTAGGTCCCAAAGAAAAATAAACCTTGAGAAAAAAAGTCATCAGAAGGCAAGAAAAAACAAGAGGAAATCATATTAGAAAACAATAAAGATGTCAATAACATTCAGCAGAAATTCAACTTTGGGGGAGACATGCAGTAAATTACACAAAAGATCTGCAATAAAACAAGAATGTGCCCGAATAAGCATCTAACTTTTGCTGCAATTATTTGAATTTCATTAATACAGTATGTTAGATAAAAAAATTTTCACAAAAATAATTAATATGAACATTTTTAATTGTTTTTAAATAAGACTAACAGATACTGTAAATTTAAATACATTATTATTAAATAATTTTGACTTACCCTATACGTAGCAGAATGTTACGTACGTGGGAATTACCTTCCGGTGTAGCATAATTAATTGACCTTGTGTATAACTGAATCGGGTTTTTTTCAAGTTGGTATCCAAAAATACTACATCATTAATAAATTAACTCTCACGCGACCAGTGATTTAATATAGACTGTTGGTGTCAGAGTCTTGGTTTTCGTTCGCAAGAATCCCTATTGCTAATATGTCTCATGAAAAATATGAGACGTTTATGAATTATAACCAAAATATACTCTATGATATTTTCAATCTTGAAAATCATGAATCAACATCCGATACTGAAAGAGAAGATTGTTTGTGGAACTATGATGAAGAACAATATTTCGATAATGATGATGAAGTCTATTATTCCGAAGATAATGAAGAAGCTCATTATTCCGAAGAAGAATATGAAGACCATTCTTCCGAAGAAGATGATGAAGACCATTCTTCCGTAGAAGATGACCACTATTTTAAAAGTGAAGATTATTTAGAATATTTATCCAAATTTGGTTGGCTTGACGAAGAGGAAGAATGTTCATCTTTTACGAGGAATAAATTTTCTTCTCTCAATCATCCAGATACGTACTTTGTAGAACAAGACAATTTTCCATCTGCTTTTTACTTCTTTTCTAAAAAAGAAAGCCACGACGTGCGGGAATGGTCTCATACAGAAGATGACTATTGTGCTTCTGAAGAGGAAAAAGAAGAATTCGGATATAATTCTTCCAAGTTTTGCGATATTTGTGAAAAATGGGGACATTTTATGCGGGAGTGTCATTTATACAATAAATCGCAAAATCTCGGGAAAAAAGCTCGCCAGAGAGCAAATAGAAAAAACGAGAAACTTCTTTCGAATCACATCGAAAAAGTTGATTGGAAGACGATCGGAAAGGTCAACGGTCTCGGAAAGGAAAAAGAGACCCTACAAGCTCCCAAAAAATTTATCAAACAGGAATTAAACGAGGCGAGCATTGTAGAAGAAGTAAAATGTAAAAAGATTGTAGAAGGAGAAAAATGCAAAAAGATTGTAGATGGAAACTGCAAAAAGATTGTAGAAGGAAACTGCAAAAAGACTGTAGAAGGTAAATGTAAAAAGAACAAATGGCTTGAACGAAAAAGTCGTCTTTCAAAAAAATTTAGAGCTTAAGATAGTCGTTGAGTAATAAGCATCACATTATCATGATATAGTTGAGATAGCTGATACATGATTCGAACTACTGTAGTGCAATATGTAGCTTCAAAACCTGAAATTTAATTTTTTGATCAATTGCTATCTTTTTTTTTAACTATTTTTCCAATATCCAAAATATTTGCATTGTACAATCAACATATCAATATTGTAAATTTTATGTCGAATAAATTATATTGTATTAACAAGAGGTTGTCATTTTTACAACGTATATTTATTTCTCTCTAGCAATAAATTTTTAATCGAATAATTGAAGAAACGATTTATTTATAATAAGTAGTTTGTAAATATATCAAATTAAGTAATGTTTTTTTTTTATTGTCAAAAAAATTTTCTTAAAAAATTTTTTAAAAATTATTATTATTATTATTATCGATTTAACTAGCTACAATATTTTTTTTAATAAAAATGCAAATTTTTTAATAGTATCTAAATAAAATAAAATTTTATCATACGATGATATTTTTTTAAAAAACAGACAATTGATAATTCATTTTTTGATGATTTCTATAAAAACTGTTATCAAATATAAATAATATACAATATACAGTACTTCCATATATGGGCAATTCTTTTCGTTAAAAGTAAGGAACGAAAAAATCATATCTAGCATTTTTGCTGCCTTCAAAAATAATTACCCATATAATTAAATAAAATAACTACTTTTAAATTTATATTAAATATAATATTTTGTTAAATATTAAATAATAACTTTGGTTCTTAGTAATTTTGATCTCAAAAATTAAAATTATATAATTGCATAAGTTGCATATACAATATAATAAATCAGATAAATAAATTATATTTTATCTATATTAGTTCAAATAAAATTTAAAGTAAAATTAATTTAATTTAATATTAAAAATTTATTTTACTTTTTTTTATTTATTAAAAAATGTAACCTATAAAACTTATAATCTATATAAAATAAAAAAACAATTTGGTTTTGATATAATATACAGTATAATCTAAAAAAAAATTTAATCAAAATAATTAAATTCTATATTATCAAAATTTCAAAATACATTTATGTTTATTCAAGTATTTAAATATTATATTAATGCAAAAAATTCAATTGATTTATTATTCTTTAACTTATAAACTTATTTGAAAATTATAATAATCAATATTATTAATGTTTCAATATAGGTTTAATAATAAACTTTTAAGATTTAATAATTTATCAATTTTATACAGTTTAGTTTTATTGTATTGTTATAAATAACAATTATTATTTGATTGTTTTTTAATAATATCTTAGTACTATATATTTTTATAAAGTTAAATAGTTTTCTTGTATAACATATTATAAATAAAACTTTTTTTGAAAACATGAAATTTGTTCAAACATATTATTTATAAAAAGCTATAAAACAAACTTAGTTTTTAGAAATAAATAAAAGTTAATTGGTTTTTTTTTGTTTATTTATTATTTCTTTATTTGAACAATTATTTATATACTGTAATTGTAAGGTTATATATAAAGTACAAAAAGTGCAAAATATATAAAATGTAAATAATAAAAAGTAATAAAAAATAAAAAAAAACATTATATTTTTGTTATATATAATAATTTAAAATTTTTTTATAACATAATAAGAATATAGTCTTAACAATATACAGAAATAATATATTATAATTCAAAACTAAACTACAGTAATTTAAAATTTCTTAAACATCAAAATCTTATTAGATTACATTTCAATTTCAAAATTATTTTTATTAATTTTTTATATATAATAATAATACTTTTTTATAAAATTTAGAAAAGACAATCCAATATTGAAAAAAGTGATTATTTCAATAACATACAGTATATTATATATAATCAATCTTAATATTTTGTTCAAATATAAAGGTATTTATTATAAACTTTCTTTTAATATTTGTCTAAAAACTTACTTTTATAAGTTTAATAATATTTCTTTACAATTTAAGTATAAAATATATTGTCCCTTTTACAATGTACAGTATATCACGAATAA